TGAGACCATTTCGTAGCTCGACCTGCGCGGGTTTCTCTGGTTTAACAGTAGGCTGTTACGCGATTTTGTTAGATTGAGTTTTTGTCAGAAGGAGAATGATACAGACATTTGCAGAGGCAGCACTGCTGGCATCTACCGTGACACCCGTGGCTAATCTCGTTAGTTGTGAGTCGTCGAGCTTGTCTTCCATCTTGACTTTGGCATCGTGGCCGTTGATGCCTTTTGCAGGAGGCATAGCCATATCGGCCCTTTCTTTTTCGGTTGGTGGCGCCTTGGTTACGGGAGCAGTATGTGCCTTTGACTTTGATTTCGATTTCGTGCCTTTACCTGCGGCTCGACGGGTAGGCCGTGTAACATTGCCCTTTCCATTTTTCAATGGAACAGCTTTCCTACTGTGAGCTAAAGGGGCTTCATCCTCGTCTGATGAAGAGGAAGATTCCTCGCTTAGAGACGAAGAAGAAAATGAACATGACCGGCGCTGTTTCTTGCGTGGCGGTCCGTCCAAGGCAGGGTCAAACTCGCCGCCACTTAGATCTGAAAGCAAAGGAGAGAAGGGACGCTTCCCCGGTGAGACGTCATCGCCTAAAAAGGATGATTGTGAGGGATTGGTTGGTGGCGTCCTGCGGTGTTACATACCAAACGTATCATGCATAGGAAGGGGTGCATCGTCCGGATGGCAAAGCTGACGGCGTAGAGACTCTTGATCTCGATCCGTGTACTGAAAGTCTAATATTCGATTGATTCCCTGTAGTGTATCGTTGTTAGTCAAGATCATGACACGGCGTCAATTGAGACTCTGCACCTATAGTGGTCCAACCTCTCGTTAGTCAAGTAACATTGGAAAAATACGACAGATACAGACCTTTCTTAGCTCGTCCATCCTATCGGCCACGCGATACCTTCGAACGAACTCGTCCCTTCCTAGGATAGATACGTCGGCGCTATGGTTGGGTACGCTATGGCCGCAAGCACAAATTTCAATATAGGTTCCGTTAAGCTCTCCATCATCAAAGACATCTTCTGTGAGGCCCAAAAGCATAAGATCCTCTTCAAAGTCACTATCGAGCATCAACTCGCAGCCTGCGGGTGGACGAAGTCCGCGACAATCGCAGTTCGAACAGGGTGAATAGCGAGCTATTCGTAGTGCCACGACATGGTCTGCGGGAAGCTCTGCGGTTGCAGGAGCTGGGTACAGCACCTTCATGTTGACAAGGAATCGATGAACGATGAGCTGTGTGCACCCGATGAACTACACAATGTCGTGGACCGTGCGAATGACAGAGCAACGACTGTTCTTGTCAGTTTACGGTGCACAGGACTTCGGACACCCTAGGCGCCTTTCCAAATATGGATAGACGCGATCACGATCAACTCCGTTTCCAAGTTCGCGGAAAGCAATTCAAGCAATTCCAAGTCTCCGCTGCTGAGACACGAACATAGGTTGGCTTCAACTTGTACTTCATCGGCAAGGTATGAAACGATGCTACTTCTTGCATGAGATCCTTCTAATAACTGTCTACAGTACACGCGGTGCTGTGTCGTACTCCAAATATTATACAAAGGCTCCATGTGCGCAGCCTGAACTTCCACGCTCCTTTAGATGAACATTTTGCGCTTGCTGTCATGATACCCTCATTACTGCCACAAGTTCTTGGTGTAATCTACTCTCTGTCTCTTCTCTGTCTTATACCCACGGTCAACGGATGGATACAATATGCTTCAACTGGAACTGCGACTCTAACACATTACGATTTACCTCAAGGTTATATTGCTGCTTGCGGATGCACGGGAGCAAGTACAAAATATCCTACAGCTGCCATGAGCCAGATGGCTTATGGTAGTAGTACGGCTTATGGGCCTGGTTGCGGTCGTTGCTTCAACCTAACCCTTCTCAATACATATACACCGGATCCGCCGTACTTCCCAACTGTCACAAAGAGCGTAGTTATAAAAGTAACGGACCTTTGCCCAGCAGGCGGGAATGGCTGGTGCTCTGCCACAGCAGACAAGCCAAACCAGTATGTCGTCCGTTTTCGTAACTCGCATAGTCTCTTTCTGACGTTATTCCAGGGGTGGTCAATTCATTAACTTTGATCTTTCCTGGCCGTCTCCTAGCATTCCAGACGACTTTTTCCCGTCCAACGTATCCTTTTATGGTGAGCCTCTCGTTATTGGAATGCAGCCTAGGCTAACATGCTTCTTCTGAAGGATATGCGGTGAGTGGGTTTCCAGTTCCCAGAATCTATGGTTCCTTAAACGTTTTTGCAGGACTTTGGTGTTTGGAACGTAAGCTATGAATCCGTTTCGTGCTTACAGGACTGGGAAGGCGCCAAAGACAAGGCAGCACTGGGAAGTGTCGATGACGGTTCCAGTGTTTGTTGTCCAGCGGAGCCTACCGTAAGTATTTTGTCTACGTCATGTAGTCCAACTATTTATTACAGCTTTTTACCCTCCTAGGGAAGCGCAAACGATACATGCCCTTCGTATTCTGATCAAAATGGTATACCGTAAGTTTTCCAAACGCGACTTGATTCATGGCAACGTCCTAATACCGCAACTACTTTTAGTCCAGATACCACTACCAGCGATGCATCGCTACTACAAGCTATCTCTATACCATATCCAATCATTTCCACTTCGCTCCTTTTCCTTGTATTCCTTGCATAGCTAGCCATTGTTTGGCTCTATAGCATTTGCTTGATTATATTTCACATAGCCGCTGTTGTAATTCACTAACATTGTAATCATTTGGGTTAAGTTCACGGAGAGCAAGCAATCTCCGAATCGTCGTGGCGATATCTTGCTGTGACGATTCGGAGAGATTTTCGTACATATTGTCTGGGTGGCTCAGTTGGTTACAGCATGTATGGGCTGTGCCTTCTCGATAGAGAGCTTGGTGGTGCTCATCGGAGTTTCAAATGCCATAGGGAGGAATCCCTCGGCCATCATGCTTCCTTTTCGGCACAGAGCAGTCAGTAGCTTTTACATGCCGCTGCCTTTACTCGCGACTTGTTCTGTGAACAACGGTATTTTATACTTTTCTTGTTCTTATTCTAACCGCATTCATTAAGCATTTCCCAAGGAACGTAAATAGTGGTTTTATACAGCTCAGCGACACTATAGGACACTATCTACTCTACAATTTAGGCAACCAGGGATAACGAGAAGCGTTGCTGGGTAATAGGATACTGTATTGGTATATTACATATCTCATAGGCAGCTAAATAGGTGTATATCAGTTTATTCAACATTTGAACATAGATGGAATGTCGATGACCGATGTAAACCAGACTCGTTGAACACCTAGTACGTCTCTATTTCGGAGAAGGTTCAGCCTCTAGTATTAAGAGGACGACTGTCTTCTCGATTTAGAGGGTGAGGACTGAGCCTACTAGTATGCTGCCTGTCCTGGCAGCGGAGCCTACCGTGAGTATTGTGTCTACGTCATGTAACCCAACAATTTATTATAACTTTTTGATCCTATTAGGGAAGCGCAAACTTGAACGATACATGCCCCTCGTGTTCTGACCAGAATGGTCTACTGTGAGTGTCCTGAATGCAACTCGGCTGACAATCCAGTCTTGATACCGTAACTATTCTTGGTCCAGATACACCCATCAGCGATGCATCGCTTCTAGTAACCTACAGACTATCTCTATACCACAGTCGATCACTTGCACCTCGCACTTTTCCTCACATTCCTCACATATCCATCTATTAACCGTTGTTCTGCTTCATAACATTTGCTTGATTTGATTTCACATATTTGTTGTTGTATTTTGCTAACATTGTAATCATTTGAATCATCGGTGTTGATTTATCTTAGCTGTTGAAAATACGCGAATGCTGCAGGTCATGTCGACTTGCTAGGATTTCTCCTAAAGGCCAAGTCGTGGCAGGACCTTCGAAGTCTATCACGCCCTCATCAAACAACCCATCCGCACTACCCTCCGAATCAAGCGATCGGAGTCCTGTGCGAAGGCCGGCACATTTTTGAGCTTCTGCTGCCACTAGCGGACGTAGGCTGTGTAACAACAGTTGTTGTGCAGCATATGGTCCAATGACATTCAAGCGAACTGCTGCAGAAAGGAGGCCTCTTGCATGCAAGAATAAATGCAAGAACCGGCTCCTTTCTGTAGATGACGTCACGTCAATAATGTCTCGTTAAGTCGGATAAAGTAATCGTACCAGCGGAAAGTCCAAGAGCACCAGTGAGGACACCCCAGCAGATAGGAAGATGCCCTGGAGTGTCTTCTCGGCGTACGATAAGTTTGAGTTGGTCCACAAGCTGAGAAGCAAGTTTGGGATTTGTTGAGGAAGACGTTCCATCGGGAAGCGTGGGCGGAGAGAATCCCTTCGTGTACAACGTGAGAAGAGCAACACCTTGCGACCGTGAAGCTCTACGAGCAACATGGTTCAAGGTTGTTGTTTCGTAAAGTTCATCGAGGGCAAGCAATCTCCGAATTGTCGTAGCGATATCTTGCTGCGGCGATTTAGAGAGTTGTCTCTGGACCTCCCCATGTGCATCCGATACAAAAGGGAGTGCAGTATGTGCATAGGTACCAAGAGACTCCCGAACAAAGTCCGTTATGGACAGTAATCTTTCACCGAGTCCAGACCTTCCTGAAGTCAGGAAGCCATGCGTAGTGTACGACTCGAGTCCTGATGATGCTACAAAGGAACCTATATAACATAGTTAGTGAATGATCATGAACTTCATTCATCAAAGGTTTTATACCCGTTGGAAGATTGCTGTCAGACAATAGGAGGAGGAGATAAGCTTCCTCGTCTTCCATAATTGTGAAAAATTCGGAAGCGTTACACCTCACGGCGCTATGTCTATAAGTAGATGTCAATAATGAATCTTCGCATACAGCTCACTACGATTTATGGCAACACATCAAGTAGCAGGATAGGGATCCATGTAAACTTCTTGACCTCAGCATCAATCCTACAGCATTGAAAATTGTGAAGGATTGTGAGAGATCGTCGTAGATATCGTCTGGGTGGCTCAGTTGGTTAGAGCATGGGTCTCATATTTCGAATATGAGTAAGCTCCGCTTACGCAATCCCGGGATCGCGAGTTCGACTCTCGCCCTGGACACTGTGGAGTATTCTCTCAAGCTTGATCGTTTTGCTGGGTGGACACACAACAATTTTGGGCGAGTCTGCCTCCCCATCATCAACATTAATTAGTTTAAATCTCGTCTTAAATCTCGTCGAATGTATTTTCTCATTTTAGCAATGCTTGGAGTGTCACATAGAATATTGTCAAATTGAACATAGTCTCATGTTGGGACCGACTCCCGTAATATTAGGTGGATTGATCGTACACCGTAATACGTGGATTCAGGATACCCTGCAATACATGGTGTCCTTTTTAGCTCCGGCGGCGGCCAATTCTGAGAAGTATTTCATCAGCGTCTGTTGAATCATATATACTGTACGTCGTCTCACTCAACCGTTTGCCTTCCCCCTTGGGTCTTGGTGCAGTCTTGCTTGCACCCTGAGTAGTCTGCTGTGCTGGCTGGGCTTGCGCCGTGCGCATTCATTCTGCTGCGCTTGCACTCGTCTCTCTCACTACAACTGTCTTTTCTCCTCACGCTACCACCTCCTCACGCTCTCATTATCCGAACGCTAATATATCATCTGCACGATACTGCATGTCTAGTAAGTATCTCCATTCACCATTCTATTCTATATGTGGTGCTTACAACCACATATATGTACCTAGCTCAACGTCGTATCAATTATTGTTCTATATGTATAGATCCTGTTACCAGGGATAAGATCCCTCTCAAAGACCATAAGTGTCCATATGCTAATCTGAAGGGAAAGAAGAGGGTGGGGCTTGCAGACCGTAATGATGGTAGACAAGTGGTATGTATCTGACTCATCCGGTGTTGCCTGTTGTTAATCTAGCTTTGGCAGCGACCACGACTGGTGTCCTTTACAGCTCCTGAGGTGGTGCCGTATGGACTTCCTGTCGTATTTGGAGCTCCTCCACTTGCACCGGCAATGCCTCAAGGGGACCCATCTCCATATTCATTTCCCACTAGTTCCCAAGCTGTCAACGTGTCCGACTTCTCTCCTAATGATATGATGTTCGATTTCTCCCCTAATGATGCAACAAACAACTTCTCCGATAACCATGGGACGTTTGACTTCTCCACTAACGATGCAACATTCTATTGCTCCCCTAATGACGTGATGCTCAACTACTCCCCTGATGACATGTCTTCCGATGGCTTGATGAACGTTGATACGTCTGATGGGCATGATTCTAATCATGTGGCCCCTAGTGACTTTGTAGGTCTCAATGGGTACCTCATGTTCATGTTACATTACTCATTACATCGGATTTAGGCTGCTGTCATTGAGGCTATTGTCTCCTCTATGGGACAAATTGGTGATTCATTGCATAATGCGCCTGCTACCAATGTGGTTCCCCGTTCTGACTCAGCTGCGTGTTTTGATGACGATCTTCTGTGGCAGTTGGTGCCAGACGAGGTCCATATAGACCCACTTCATGATAAGACGATATCTGCCCATGAGTCTGATATACTTTCTCAACGTGAAACATTGCCTGAACCTCCTCAATGCGAAAAGTTACCTGAACCTTCCCAACATGAGTCATTACCTAACTTGGAACCGCTTTGAAGGGGAGACTTGCCTGAACCTCAAGAAGCTAGCTCTTCTGTAGACAATTCGGACATGGTGGCTCCATCTATGTCCTGTGTGCCAAACAAACTGAGGAAAAGTATGTCTTATGCCACGACTATGGTGTCAATATTGAATTAAGAGTTTTCGTAGAGCGCTCTTTCACATACATCGAAGATGACAAGCTAAGGACAAGGGCACATAGTGACCGTGTCGCTAGGTTAATGGATGCGGTATGTTTTCATCTATGCATATCATGTTATCTTCTAAATTTATCTCTATAGATTGAAAACCTTGACATAACAACGGGAGCTTACATTTTCTGCTTCATTGCTTGGTATGACCTCATTCCTGCTTACCTATGCTCGTGATTGACTATTTTGTAGGCCAGAGACTATGTTTAGCAAGAGTGGAAAAACTCACGTGAAGTGTTCGCAACTCATGGAGGAAGCACTCGAAGCAGAAAACCCTGAATATGAAAAAAACCTTCACAAAATTGTTGCGGAATATGAGAAAAACCGGCGATCTACTCAGAAATCAATTGTCACCTTGAATGCACAGGTATACGCTGAAAAGCAGGCGAAAGAACGCGCCGAGGCAGAGGTTGCTGCATTGCGAGCAGAATTAAACCGCCAGACTCAAAACGGACTAGCTTCCGTTTAATACATTGCTTAATTACTACCGTATATACAAGTGTTAATATTTGTAGAGCTCTTTAGTATCATACTTTCGCCATACGGCGCATTATATTTCGGTTCCAAATATCCAAAAAGGTTTTTGTGTATATGACAGCATGTTCATAATTCATAAAACTGACACTTTTACGAATGCGCTTCATACCCTTGTTTCCACACTCCGCAGCACTTGTGTTTGCAGCACGTATGTCATCATCAAATTGCATGACATTGCTAGCGAAGCATGCTTGACCACAGCGAGAGTGATCATGTGCATGCATCTCGTCGATGAGAAATCGGGTGTTGTGAAAGTAGCGAGCTTCACGCACGAAGCAGTATACTGCAAGTTGACATGCGAAGTCGTAGATAATGACCTTTGGTGCAGATGGGAATCGGGTGTATATTGCAGAAAATACATCATTTCGGCCCTCCGCAAGCGGGATGGAATGGAATCCTAAGCATATTGAGTGAGTGCACCACACTACAAAAATCCCACCCGTAAGACTGTGTTTTGAATAGGTCTTGTAAAATTTGTTGCAGTCACCAGCTGCCTCATCTTCACCTCGATCAAGTACACGTAGGGTATCACCACGGAGTTTTGAGTAAAAGCGCCGTTTTCGTACAGCCGGGCTACCATACACAGTCCCTGTCTCTTTCCAGTTCCCTTGCGGCAATGAACTATCACATGGAGCAGGATCATGCTGCGCGAGACGAGAGTAGACATCATATGCTCGCCTCGCCAGCCACCCGGCAACCTTCTGAACTTCAATAGGAATAGGAGTCGAAAGTTGTCGATAAAGGTTCAATACTGCACCCAATGCAGGGCAGTACCGCTGGAGCCATTTGGGCGATTCCCCTTTTGCCACCGCACAGAGTAGATTGATAGCTTGGTAAGGGACAAGCTGTAGTACAATATCAGGGGCGACAATCTGCTTCAACAATGTACCGTGAATCTTGTACTCGGGTGTTGTGTGTGACTTCTGTAAGGTGAACAACACTGGACCGTAGCCCAAATTTCAGGCTCCATAAAAGTAAAGTAAAATTTTATAAAAAGTCTCTTACAAAATATACTTTTTAGACCCAAAAAATGATGTAAAAATTCAAAATTGCAGCAGAATTTGATGAATCACAAAAACCTATATAAATTCTGACTTTTGTATCCAGTTTTTAGAGTTCAAAAAAGCTCAATTTTGATACATTTTTTGTTAGAGCAAAATTTGGAATACAAAATTCAAAGTTTTGACACACATTTATTTTTCCTAAACTGATATAAAATTTAAACTGCTAAATTGGTGAGATGAATAGTATTGTATATCTAAGTATCTCCATCAAATAGTCTTATTGACAGGGACCATGATGTACTAAGAATAGTAGTCTATATCTTCTCTTTAGGCTATCTATCTATGAAACTGTATTTTAATATATAAAATTATATTATAATTTTTGACAAAATAAAAGTATATCAAAATGTTGAATTTTGCATACTGAATTTTGCCTTAGCAAAAAATGTATGAAAATTGAGCTTTTTTGAACTCTGAAAAGTAGATACAAAAGTTTGAATTTGCACAGGTTTTTGTGATTTATTAATTTCTGCTGCAATTTAGAATTTTTAGATCATTTTTTGGGTCTGAAAATCATCTTTTGTAAGAGACTTTTTATAAAATTTTACTTTACTTTTATGGAGCCCAAAATTTGGGCTACGGTCCAGTGCAAAACAAGCGCGGTAATCTCGGGATAAAGAGCGTGTAATGCCTGTCTGACTGTAAGCTCCGAAAGACTGTCTTGAATGGCAGTGGGGTGTAGTGGTTGATCTAACAGCTTCAATACATATACTCATATTTCTTTTTCTGGAATTGCGGGGAGTTGTCGGGCTTTGTATGTGGTGATACTATCAATGTTCTCGCAGGTGTCATCGACAAAGGTGGGAGGATGTATATGTCTTGTTAACTTTGACACATGGGTGGAGAGACTGACACCGTCCACAATAATGATGTCGGGGTTTGGTCCACATTGGGGACATACCATCTTGCTATCGATGTCAAGTAATTGAATGAAAGCGAACCATACACGGACAAATGTCTCATCCGAGCAAAAGGTGAGATGTGAGTTGATAGCACTATTATCTTCATACCACCGGCGGACAGTCAAGCAGAAGGCAGAGAAAGGTGTCTCTGATGCTGTGTACATATTGAGGTATGCAGTAAGCAATTCGTGCGAGAAAACCATGGTATTGTTCCAGTTGAAAAGACCATATTCACTAAGGTCTGGTCCAATTGCTCGTCGTGAGTGTTTACACACCGGGCACTGAATTATGGGAATCGTAATGATACGACTCGCCTTCAGGCCATAAAGGGTAGCAGATTTCTCGCTCGTATGACCTTCCACTGGTCCTCCAACATCCTTCAGCATGAGCCCACAACAGCAGCGTGCCGCGGGGCCAATATCGAAGTTAGAATTATCGGTACAGATCATGCCGGAAGCTTCGTCAGGCAATGAACACCACCGAGGGGGGGGAATACGTTGATGGGAGATGGGATCGTGAATGCGCATCCCATTTGTCTTCGTAATCAATACATTCTCATCAGAGTCAGCTTCACTCGATCTCACAGGTACTTGATCTCCCTCCGATACCAAGCCTGCTGTTTTTGCAAACAACTCGGTGTGCAGTCGATGTTTGCAGGTTATGACATACCCATCGGATGCACAATGCCATCGACCATCACATTGGAGTGAGACGATAGACTGCTTCCCAGATTCATAACGTCCCATG